TAAATTATTTTTGTTTTTTTTAATAATTATAACTATATATTGTAAAAACACATGAAAATAAACAAGTTATTTTACTTTTAATTAAAATTTTATAAAAATCAAAAACTACAACCATAATACATAGAGTTTAACTTTATATTTGGTTTAAGGGGAATGAAGGAGAGGAAATTCATTTCTCTGGTTTTTCTTTATTTAGATGAATAACTAAATCAAAAAAATTAAAATAAATTTTTTTTTCTCTCCTCCATTCTCTTCAATTTAAACATACTATAAATATCAAATTATTACATATCAATTATTAATTATTAACTAACAGATACAATGAAAAAAAAAAACTATAAATCTTTATTTCTTTTGGTATTTATATTTAAGATATTTTCAAATTAATTTTCAAATTGCACTTTAAAATTAATTTTTTTTCAAATAATTTTAAAGATTCCTTTCACATCACTTTAATATATTTTAAAAAATTAATTTTTTTAAATACTAACTCTAAAACTTAAAATATAAATCTAATTTATAATACTGATAAATAGAAAATATAAATCTAATTTATAACCGGCACTTATTTACCAAAAACATCAAGGCAAATACCATAAACCCTCCTGCAAGGGATAGGGTCAAACCTCCTCAAGCTAAAGTAGCAGTCAACTTCCAATTTATCCAACTATCATACACTGATTCAGCCACTGAGATCTTAGGGTTTCAGATTCATTGACACCTGTAGGACTGCAATGAATGGAGCACCAACGATATCTTGGACCTGCCCCCACACATCATTTTGGAAAGACAAAGATGTTGCATAGAAACCATTCCCTTTTTTCTCAAAGGGGGCAAAGTGAAGAACAATTTTTCAAAAAAATCAAACCGGATATGCTGCTATTCCAAAGGAAAGCGTGCAGAATATTAATAATTTAAACCAGGGATTATGTTTTTTCTCGCTTTGTATATCTCATTCCTTATTATCCACCGCTGGATCATCTTCATTTTCTTATGATTCAACTGTTTATCCAATTCAACGGTATATATTCAATCGAAGAACAGCATGATTTGTAAGGGGCCCGGGTTTTCTGAATTTCTTTATAGCTAGACAGTCAAATCATGACCGTAGAATTAGTGGACTAAAAAGATCCTCACTCATAGTCAACACTGTGTCAGCTTTTCTCGAGAAAGAGAAGAAGCCTCTCTCACCTGTAGAACCCCAGAAAAAACCACCACTCCTTTTCGGTCTTTCCCTTTCTCTCTGCTTCATCCATGGAGGTTCTGAGACTTTCCTCTGCTTACATTTTCTTCCTCCTTTTGACTACAGGCTTGTCTTTTGGGGTTCTGGCTTCTTATTCACCGGATGTTGAGCTTCTCTTGGGGAAGATCAAAGCCCCCCTGCAAGGTAACACTGAGAACTTGCTATTGTCTTCATGGAATTCCTCTCTTCCTCTTTGCCAATGGAGAGGCCTCAAATGGGTTTTCTCCAATGGGGCTTCTCTTTCTTGTAGTGACATTTCTTCCCCACAATGGACTAATCTTTCTCTGGCCAAAGATCCATCTTTGCACCTTCTTTCTCTTCAGCTTCCCTCTGCTAATCTTAGTGGTTCACTCCCTAGAGAGCTGGGTGAGTTCTCTATGCTCCAAAGTATTTACCTTAGCATCAACTCAATGAGTGGGACCATCCCTCTTGAGCTTGGTTACAGCTCTTCACTGTCTGACATTGATTTGGGTGATAATATGTTGAGTGGGGTGGTACCCCCCTCGATCTGGAATTTGTGTGATAGGCTTGTTTCTCTTCGTTTTCATGGTAATTCACTATCTGGGTCTCTTCCAGAACCTGCATTACCAAACTCTACATGCAAAGAGCTGGAGCTTCTTGATTTGGGTAACAACAAGTTTTCTGGGAATTTCCCAGAATTTGTGACTAGGTTTCAGGCACTTCAAGTGCTTGATCTTTCGAATAATATGTTTTCTGGTTCAATTCCAGAGAGTTTAACCAGATTAAACCTTGAAAAGTTGAACCTTTCACACAATAATTTCAGTGGAGTTGTGCCAGTTTTTAGTCAAGTAAAGTTTGGTGGTGACGTTTTTGAAGGGAACAACCCTGCCCTTTGTGGGCTGCCTTTAAAGAGTTGCGCTGGTGCTTCTCATTTGAGCCCAGGTGCAGTTGCTGGCATCGTGATTGGCTTAATGACTGGAGTGGTGGTTCTGGCTTCATTACTGATTGGATATGTTCAGAACAAAAAGAGAAAGAGAGGGGATAGTGAAGATGAGATAGAGGAAGGAGAAGAAGAAGATGAAAACGGTGTTGGTGTTGGCGTTGCTGGAGGCACTGGTGAGGGTAAGCTAATTTTGTTTCAAGGTGGTGAGCATCTCACATTAGAGGATGTTCTAAATGCAACAGGTCAAGTTCTGGAAAAGACTAACTATGGTACTGTGTACAAGGCAAAGCTTTCTGATGGAGGAACCATAGCATTGAGACTATTGAGGGAAGGCAGCTGCAAGGATAGAAGCTCGTGTTTGCCGGTGATAAAGCAGCTTGGAAGGATTAGACATGAGAATTTGGTTCCCCTGAGAGCCTTCTATCAGGGGAAGAGAGGAGAGAAGCTACTCATTTATGACTACCTTCCTAATAGAAGCCTCTATGACCTTTTACATGGTATGCATTTTATCTTTTTCTTTTCAGAACCATTATTTGCATTTTGTTTATGTGCTCTTATCCTATAAAGGTAAAGGTAATAAGTTTCATTCTAGAAATGCATAAAATTTAATGGTCAGACCGAAGCCTCTAATATGAATCAATTACTTGGTGGTAGGAATCGTAGGACTGGTGACTCTTTTAATTGTTTAAGTAATTAGCTCCTGAGGTTTCAAATCCTTCCTCATTTTGGAGTTAAATGATCAAGGATCATTGGAAAACATGAATCTGTATTCGTCTTAATGGGACATGCTCTTTAGAAGTAATCTCTTTGAGAGGGAATCTGATGGAAAATGTTTAATTGCTGTTGGAAGTTATTGATATTGACATGTGTTTTTCTAGATGTGAAAACCTTAGTTAGCAGGAACCCTCAAGGCTCTAGACAATGACAAACATTACACTGTTTAAAACAGATTCTGAGTTGTATAAATAACATAAAGGCTCTCTTCAGAAAAAGGTAAAGTAGAGTTGTTGTCTACTTTGGTACACCCTAAAAATTGCAGATTGCAAGTTCTGAGACCCTCAAAATCTACATATTTAAAATAAAATTTGAATTCTAAAACATCTTGGTTTAAGCTATCCAAGGCTCAGCATAAAAATATCCTAATAGATCAAGGTAGCTCTTAAGTTAATTGTCTGCACATTTGGCCGCAAAATGGAGCATATACTAGTTTGAGTTTGCAAAAAGAGAAAGAAAAAAAAAAGGGCATCACTGTTATTACTTTATTAGCATGTCTCAGGAGTTTTGATTTGGTTCAATGAGTGCTCCATGCTTCTTCTCTCTTGTTTGATTTTTCACTGGGTTTGTAGTCAATTGTTGAGAATCCATGATCCCTCAAACACTAGTTATGTATACATATATATTTTTCTTTCTCTTTGAATGCAGAGACAAGGGCAGGAAAGCCAGTACTGAACTGGGCCCGTCGTCACAAGATTGCCCTGGGTATAGCCAGAGGATTAGCATATCTTCACACAGGTCATGAGATACCCATTACTCATGGCAATGTTAGATCCAAAAATGTGCTTGTGGATGAATTTTTTGTTGCAAGGCTCACAGAATTTGGCCTGGACAAGTTAATGGTCCCAGCAGTAGCTGATGAAATTGTAGCACTTGCAAAGACTGATGGTTACAAGGCACCAGAACTTCAAAAGATGAAGAAATGTAACTCCAGAACAGATGTTTATGCATTTGGGATATTGTTATTGGAGATTTTGATAGGAAAGAAGCCAGGCAAAAATGGTAGGAGTGGTGATTTTGTGGATTTGCCATCAATGGTGAAAGCTGCTGTTTTGGAAGAGACAACAATGGAGGTTTTTGATGTGGAGGTCTTGAAGGGGATCAGAAGTCCTATGGAAGACGGGTTGGTTCAGGCATTGAAGCTTGCAATGGGATGCTGTGCTCCAGTGGCTTCGGTTAGACCTACAATGGATGAAGTTGTGAAGCAGTTGGAGGAGAACAGACCTAGGAATAGATCTGCTTTATACAGTCCCACTGAAACAAGGAGTGAAGTTGGTACACCCTTTTGAGCTTCTCTGTTTCCAGTTATGAATACTTTTCTCACCGTTTGTTATCAGTTTCTTGTTTGAGTAGGGAGTTGTAGTGATGGTTAAATTGCTTCTTGAAAGTAGTGTTTTAATGTTTGGCATGTTCCATTCTTAGGCTCTTATGTAATCCCTGACAACCAACCTCTTAAATACGAAGTGTTTTAATGTTCCAAGCTACAATTAAGGAAGAAAAAAATGGCCATTTTGCTTGTTCTTTCTTGTTGGCCAAATTTCCCTTTTATTAAGGACTTACTAATGAGGTCTTGACCTAGTGGTTAAAGATCTGGGAGATCTTAGAATTAGATCCCCCAATCAAAAACTGATGTGAACTTACCAATAAGGTCTTGGTCCAAGGATTAAAATAGACCTCAAGAAGTCTCTGTTTAAATCATCACCCTTGAATAACTGGTTCATGGAAAATCTTGGTGCTGACTGAAGGGTGAATTTTGAAGTACCTGACGACATTTGCGAGCAAGTTGAATGGTGGTAGATACATAAACTCAAGAAGCCAGGAAGGAAGGTGGGATGGGTTTGATTTTGTTCTTTGTGCATGAATAGTAAGCATTAATTATCAATGACGTAACATTTTGACCCATCGGAGGCTTTATTGAGTGTATTCCGCATCTCCTACAGGACCCAGTTTTCACATCTGAATTATTTTTCTCCATTCCTTTATATTATTTTAGATTTTCTATAATTAATGCTGCAGGAAATGACATGTTTCTCCACATGGATCAGACGAGACTACTAAATCAAAGTCTCATTCATTGCAACATGGTCTCGGCAACTCATGTAAACAGGGTGGCATTAAAGTGCTCATGTTTTGCCGGTGACATGCCTAACTCCAAGCCACATGCTACCAATGTGAGGCTCAATTATACAGTCACAGGAACTTTGAGCCAGGTTTGAAGGTCATGTTACCTCATCATATGGAATCTATGAGCTAACTAATCTAATCAAGAGCAGAGGAACTAAACAGAGAAACACAGAGAATTTCAGGAATAAAAACTAAGGCAAATCCATTTAATTACAAAGAAGAAAGTAAGAAAACAGTGAACAACTCTACAGCACCTAAAGGCGGCCGAGGTCGAACAATGAAGCATTGTGACAAGTGAAGTAATGTGTGTGAGGATGATTGTAAAAAATTTGTACACTTGTCAAATATTTTGGTTGGGGACGAAGAGGAGAAGGATTTTGAATAGAAAGTAAGCAAACTAAAGTGGAGATAGCAGTAGGTAGAACTATTAAAAATGGAAATGGCAAGAAAATGAGTTGTTTTTCCTTTCCTTTGGTTTTCTTCTTTTCTTGATGGGAAGGAGATTTTGAGAATTAACATATACTGCCGCGGGTGCAGGACAGGGCACCTGCGTTTGAAGTAATGGTGCCAACCATGGAAGAGGACTTGGCTCCCAAGCTGGAGGCCCTGGCATAGCTGGCTGCAGCCCCTCTTCCTGATGGGGTGAAGAAGGCTCCGTTCAGCATCAGGTCTCCATCTGACCTCCAATTCCATTGTTTCCATTGGTCAGCTGCTGTATCCACTCTCTTTGTCACCTGACAACCATCAAAAGTCATCATCATTGATAAGCTACAATGACAGGAGAAGTTTTGTAAGTTCATGGTGAAATTAAACTACCTCCTTGGCAAAACGATTGGCAGGGGCAAGATATCTGTTGCCCTGACTGTTAATGGTGGGATTAGCACTTCCACCAATGGCATACATTTCCCAGTGTGTGTAATCATTGTTCACTACATGGAAATACCCATGCCTACACCTGCAAGATTTTATTTCAACAAATTAATCAAATTCCTCAAAAGGGAAAAGAAAGTTACAAGAATGTTAATGTCATTTTATTTACCTGGGCATTCTCTGGATAAGCCCCTCACCAAAATGGTTATAGGCTATGGTCACTTGCATCACCTTATCTCTTGTGTAAGAGTCACTATGTCCCAATAGCATAACCTGTTATTCAATTAGAAACAGAATTTTAGCATATTAAATCATCAAGCAAAACTCATTTTAACGAAGGGATCAAGTTTACTAGTCCAGAGGGGTTGGACTACACTCTGGACTAGCAACTACCATTGCCATTACATGGGAGGTTACAAAGGCCCCTCATCTGATGGCTATAATTTTACGGTCTGTATTGCAAAATACTTTTTAATGTGAAATTACCTCGTTGTGATGGGTGAAGTAGTTGTTGGAAATGGTAATGGCAGTAGAACCAATGACAGCGTCAATAAGGCCATCAGCACAATTAGAGAGTGAATTGTGATCGATCCAAATGTGGCTTGAACCAAAAATGGAAATACCGTCTCCATCAGCGATCGCCCTCCATCCGTAATGACTTGGGGAGCTTCGGACCATGGCATTTCCGGTGGGCTTGTGGTCATGAATATGGATTCCGTGGATGATAATATTGGTCACGAACTGAATGGTAATCTGTCCTCCATAAGCAATGTGCACATTGGCACCTCGGCCGTCGATTGTCTTGAAGCTGTTCATGATCAGCTCCTGCTTGAGGGTAATCACCATGTCACGTTTGAAGACGATCCACAGAGGCCTGTCCTGGATAACTGCGTGACGGAGGGTGCCCGGTTTGGGATTAACGGCGTCATTGTCACTGGGGTCGGTCACAATATAGTATCGTCCATCACGGCCGCCCACGGCGTTGCGTCCAAACCCAATTGCACAATCTGCGAGGCGCTTTCGTCGGCGGTACCACAGGCGGTCGCAGCGCCAGCAATCATCAATCGGATTGCCTGTTCCACAGGAGAAATATCCCAATTTCCGTCTTTCCGTGCTGTTCTTTATGTTCCTATAACATTTTAATAAAATCATATTACAACATTATTACCGAAAAATGATTGAAAAAAAAAAAAAAAAACTTCTTCATATGTTGATGTTTTTTTAACCCTTATAACTTGTAATATTGTATAAATTTATTGGTTTTATAACATATAAAAATTATAAAAATTATAAAAAATAATTCTACAAAAAAACTTTGTTCACATGTCATTATCTTGTTGCCTAGTCTTCATAATCATTCTGCATAATTGAATTGGAATTAAACATTTGAATTTTAGAATTAAAAAAGTTTAAAAAGAGCATGAACAGTAATCCACTCAAGTGAATTTAATTTATGAGAGAATTTAAACACTGTTGCAACTGATGTACATACGGTCCACGGTCCGTGAGGGAAATTAGATGAGTTTTCTTTGCTAATGTCCACCGGACGAAAGAAAGGCTGAGGAGGGAGCTCTATTCATTTTTTTATTTATTTACTGTGATCGCATTTCGAGGTAATTTTCACCTATTTTGTAGTTAAATCTTAATATTAAGAGTTTATCTTAATATTGACTTGATTTATTTAAAAAATTAATTTTTTAAATAATAATTTTAAATTTTAAATGCTAAATTTAACTTATAAAATGAGAACACTGGGATGCTACAGTTGTAGATTTAATTCTTGGGCTAGAGTTGGAGGTTAACTCTGTTAGGTACCTTCAATAAGAAAAGCGTCGGTGAGACAGAAAGCCAAAAAAGGGGAAGCTAAGCATTAAATGCAATCACGTTAGAAAACTAGTTATGTCAGATTGATTCAGAAGAAGAATTTATCCCAATTTGTTTTCTGTATTTTCTATGATTTTGGTGTTTAGAAGTAATGGATCTACTAGCGAGGTCATTGCCCTGAGTTATCAGGTTTGGATCACAAGGAACATTACTCAAGATGATTCAATCCTGGCTACCCCACCAATCTTGTTCATGAAATTATTACCATATTTTCATGCCTTCATTTGTTCTTGTTAAATCCTATAGAGTGAGCAGGAAAAACTATACACAAAAAGTGTTCATCAGTCTAACAATCCAAACGAGTAATCCTAGCCCTCAAAATTACATTACGAAGGCATATTAATAATAATATAAGATTAAAGTACTAGGAATGATGGTTTTGATAAGCCACGTAAAGGACAAGAAATAAATTTAAGTGCGAGGTGCGCGGATCTGAGGACATGAGCATGTGCTTCATCTGCAAATAGGATTCAAGGGTATGGAGATTGTAGATTCCTCATGTTTCTTTAAACAGACTCTTTCTTAATTTTCTAATAAAACTTTAGACCTGTTGTATTTGGATTTATTTATTTATAATATTCTCTAAAATTCAAAGATCTTAAATTGTTCTACGGGAAGTAATGAATCTGGTTTTAGTCTCAAGAAATTTTGGGACCCAAATATGGAAATTTTGTCATCAAAACACCTCAGAAAAATTTGACATTAGAGATTTTAAATTTTGACACTATTGACTGAAATTCTGAAGGGTTAATTCTTAAATGACCTTTTGGGATGGGAACTAGGAAGAGGTGAGAAGAACATGTTCAAACTATTTGTGGCAAATGGGATCATCACATTTACATTAGACTCATCACTCATGTGAGTCTTCTTCCTCTCCAGGATAAATTAATTAAACAAAATGTTTATTCAGTGAAATTGAATTGAACTTAATTGTTTCATAAAAAAAATGCTGCTAAATCAAATTCAGAAGAATCAAAAGGATAGCTAAGTTTCAGATTATGATTAAGAAGTAGAAAAATTGAAGCAGTTAATTTGCATAATCAAGCAGCCTTCGTTAGTTTTATTGTAGAAACGAAGGGAGAGAGTCACTTACATCTCAACCATTTTGACGACTTCCTCTGGATCGTCGAATGTGTGTTTATCTAACCATTCCTCGTCCGACCTGAAATTTTTTGAAGTGATTCTGTTACTCAGGAAGCAACTAAATCGAACAAAAATGAAGTTCTTTAATGGCGGCCGGAAACGTAACGCGCCATAAATTCAGAATTAAAGTATACAGCGATCCGGTTGTTTCAGATCTGATTCTGAAAAAAAATAAGCGGAAAACTTAGAATTAACGGACTCACATCTTCGCCATTGAGGAGTTCTTGATGCTCTGAAAATGCTCTGTTTCCTGACTCTTCCTGTTTGGCAGAAACAGAGAGAACGCAATTTTCCGTTAAGCAAGAGAAACGATATCTTCGCATTCCAGAGCGCAAAGAAACGATTTGGCGCCCTCAGAAAACGTATGGAACAGAGAACTTTGAATTTGGATCTCAAATGTAAAAATGTACCTTGAATTTAGCTGGATTTTCTGCCTACCGGCATTTACGCTAACAAAGAGCGCCATGAGCAGCAATGTAGAGAAGGAGAGGAATCGCCGGCAAGCAGCCATTGTCGCCTTTTCTACCTCTGTTTAGTTACAGTAAATGCTGTGTGTCCTCTGGCAGAAATGGAGAAGAAAAGAGAACGTGGAAGAGAAAGAAAATAGAGGGAATGGTGGTCAGAGAACTCCGAGGCAGCAGTCTTTATAGAGAAAGAAACTGTTGGATCCTAGCCTAAACTTTGGTATAATTCCGTTAATAGTCTACTTAACTTTTTTTTTTTTTTTTGAACAGGATCAATTTGGTAGAGGGAGAAATGTCAAAGTTTTGAAGACACATCACACAAAGTGATACCCACTTAAATAGGATCAATTTGGTAAAAAGAGAAATGCCATCTTTAAGTTTTGAAAACGTATTCAATAAGAAGTGATCCCTACTTAATTAAGGGTTTTAATTACAAGATCGATACGTGGAAATCTTCTACTTAACCATCGACCATGGCGAAGTCAAAGTAACCCTGCCTAATTAATCATCTTGCTTCCTTAAGAAAGTCTAACATTCCAGAGATAATCTAGCGTGAAATTGGATGGTTTGGTTGTGTCCTAATTTAATACTAGTTTGACGTCTGCTTGTAGACATTTCAATAATCTCTATCTCTAACATAACCAATTGATTTTTTAGTTTTTTTTTTTTTAAATTAATGATTTGAAAATAATATTTATATGTATTTATAATACTCTTAAAAAAATTTTATGATTAGATGATTAATTAAAATAAATAGTAATAAGAAGATTGAAATAGAGAAAATATTTATTTATTTTAAAAAATAAAAAAAATAACTATTAATTTAAAATAAATTTAAAATAAAAAATAATTATTTTATAACAAAGAGAGTAATTAAAAGCTAGGTTTTTATGTCAAAGTCTCACATTTAAATTCTAAAATTAATATAAGTGAATTTGACAAAGAAATAATTATTTATTATTATATAGCTTTTTTTATTTTTTTACTAAGATACTATTATATAGTTTATTACGACATGTACGAAAGAAAATTAACAATTTGACATTTCATGATAAAGAATGAGTTTAGGTACTACTGTTAGGTTTAAGAATCCAAATCAAATATGATAGGATTCTATATTAGAAACATTTTCCTACCCTACAACAATGATTTATGGTATTTGAAATAACTGGTTAATAAAATTTTAATGAATACTTCCTCGTATCTAAATAATTATTTTTTAAAATAAAAATTTAAAAGTAATATTTATATTCATTTATGATACTTTTAAAAAATCAATAACAAACACTAAATTAATTTTCGACTACAGTTACAGTACAATACAATTCAACATAGTACAATTCAACATAGTACAATTCAGTACAATCACAGTTACAATTACAGTTACAATATTTCATAGCAATTACAAACGCACCCTGAGTCAATTAAATATCCTTAACAAAAAACTCAAAACATAATACATGTACAACAAAGTGTAGCAAAAGAGTGCATTTTATTGGGGTAATTGACCAACTATTGGGTGTATATAACAAAAAAATATTCTACTTCATACCTCATTATTTAAAAACGCAAAAAATTCATCCTTTTTATATTATACCATTATAAAATAGATGTCATGGTCTAAGGACAAGCCAAATCTAATACTACAGTCTAAAATAAAAACGTTAATTGTTTCTTGACAATGAAATAAATATAAAAACTACCAAATTAAAACATATAAGGGGTTAGTGGTTATTAGTCGAACTTATAAAAGGATTAAGAAGAAAAATACTCAAAATTATTTTGTTTTAATAAAACACTACACAAAATTAAAATAGTTTTATTTTTATTTTAAAATTAGGATATTTTTGTCTTTTTAATAAAATTTTTTTAAAATGACATAATTTAAAAATTTTTTTGCCTAATTTGCTGTAGCTATTGTTGCTAAATATTTTTTCTAGTATATATAATATATTGATTTTTAGAAAATTATTCTTAAGTGGTTTTGTCCCACTTTTCTTAATTTAGTAAAGATTTAAAATTATGTGTGTGTTTGAGATTATAGTTGAGAGTTTTTTCTTGTAATTGTACAACACTTTTAAATATACGTATATTTGATAATTTTGTTTAGATTATTTTTTCTAAAAACTGTAGAAAACTATAACATATTTACAGTAATTTTATATATAAATCAGAAGCCTCATTTTGAAACTTTTTAATTGTAATTTTTACGAATAAGACTTAATATTTAATATAATTATAAAATTACTCATTAAAATCCAATTTCATAAAATTCAATTATATCATAATTTATAATATTTTGATAATTATAACAAATCTAAAAAACTTGAATTATTAAGAAATAGTAAATATTTTCTATTTTAATAATTATATATCTTACAACATTTTTAAATTTTTAATTAATAATTAATAAATTTTGTCATATTTTATTCATAATATTATTAAGAAATAAATAATCAAATGGTAAAATAACT